GTCTTCCTTTTCGGGCTCAATTCGAGCTGCGTTTTAGGGCTCCATACGACATTCCGCCATTCCGTCTTTTGCTGTTTTCAGTGCCATGTGTTGGTGTACCTACCGCCGTGATTTCAAAATGAATGGTAAGTTATTAGTTATCAGTTATCGCTATCTTTTAGAAAAAATCAAGATGTTGATGCTCATGCCATTTTAATCCCTTATCAATTAAAATTGTGGTGGCATTTGTTCAGAAAAGGTCTGATCTACAATTGTGGCGCCGTTGATACGAATACGCACGGGTTTAATTATTCGTTTTTCTTGTATTTGCGCCACATGAAAGCATCATATCTGGATTCAGGATGTCAAATAGTGTAAGAATGTGCAAAAATTTTGTCTGGTTCTTCGTGATGATGTGATTGAAGCAATGCTTTCAAGGGTAGGTAAGGATTTTGTTACTTGTTCGTAATGGTTATCTTGATGCTCAACTAAAATTAATCCTAACCTTGCCTACTAACCTATTAAGTTAAACTTAGTACCAATACCTACCAACCTACAACCTATTTGGATCTTTCATATACTTATAACATGCTGCTGCTTCTGCTAACATGCTGCGGAATGCTGGTTGACATGATGGAATGCTGGTATGACAGTGTTCCATGTTTCAGAATTTTAGGTGAATAACCACACATGATGGGGAAAATGTTTTCATCCTAAAAATATGACAAGTGGCTTTATTTCATCTTTGCTAAAAAAATATGTCAAAAGTTTGATTCAACAGCCAGCTGCCAGGTTACGCATGACTTGACAGTTGATGCATCTACTCTACATCATTTCATTTCAGATCCTGTGAAGGTTCTGACAAAATCTGAGGTAAAAATGGCATTATGCAGTTTTGCGGAAAGACTAAATCTATCTCATTTTGTCTTCAGATTTTTTTTTATTGTGACACCCAATTGAAATCCAATTTTAGAACACTGTGACACCATGCCTGTGTGCCAAGTAAGAGGAAGGGTCTACAAGTATACATCAAGATAACCAATTATGGACAAGTTGAGACTTGAGTCATGAGCTCTTATTTGTGGTTACAATACCTTCAACTGCATGATTTTGCACAACTTCCATACAGGCATCCAGACTGGAAAAGGTTCAAGTCCATACTTATTCTGGTGCTTGAATATGGCAGTTCAAAGATGGAAGGCATATGATGCTACAAAATGAAAAAAATAATTCAACTTACAAAAAATAGGTATTCATATCTATCCTAAACTAAACTAACCTAAACTTACCTAACCTAATCCAACCCAACCCAACCACCCCAACCAGCCCAGCCCAGCCCAACCCAGCCCAGCCCAGCCCAGCCCAGCCCAGCCCAGCCCAGCCCAGCCCAGCCCAACCCAACCCAAAACCTACAGTCTAAAACCTAGAGCTAAAACCTGTAGCCCAAACTGGAAAACATCCATATGGTACGCCGGACGCCCGTGAAGCCGTCATGCGCCGAAGTTCGGCGCAAGCTATTTTGCAATTTGCGCTGAAATTTCTGCATTATTTGCGCCGAAGGTTAGTGCCCTTTTGCGTCAAAATTAAGCCACTTATACAAAAAGCACGTTTACATCTGCTGGCCAAGGTTTTATAAACCAGACAGAACGCTCTGGGCCTTAACCACTCCTGACTCCCATGTTTGAGCGTCCAAATTAGTTGATGTTTCCATGGAAGCTGAATACCACAATACGTGTAGCGCACTGTAGCATCGTGCCGTGAAATAAGGCTCGGGACGGAAGTTCCGGGGTCACAAAAATTGGTGTGGCGGTGTTGTCGCGGCTGGCGGGCTCCAGCAAGGGGTTTAAGTTTACGACACCACTCTTGTTTCAGGAGAGGTGTCAGCGATTCGAGACTACTTGGGCATGCGGGCAGCGGGGTCGGCGTGGCTGCCTGCGGCTGCGGCCACACATCTTGGCGTCCTGGAGGCGGAGATGCTGATGGTGGCATGAGTCATCACTGGCTGCCCGATTTCCATGCTCCAAGACTCGCCGTGAGGGCCGAGGCGGGCGTCGTGCCGATGGAGAGATGAGGAGGGATGCGCTGGCATCGCGCCTACTGGCGAAGGCGCTCTCCCTCCCGTCGGAGGACCCGCCGCGTCGTGGCGGAAGCCCCCCCCCCAACCGTGACTGAAGTCAGTGACCGGCTGGAGAGAGCGCGGGGGAGCGGTGTGGGACCACTGGAGTGGCGCTGCCCGCCGAGGCGCGCTTATCCACGAGACTGCCCCCGTAGACGCCAACAGACGGCGTCACGGTCCACCTGGACCTGCTGCCGATCGGGGCGTCCGCGACAGCGAGGAGGAGTGCTGCGGAGGCGTGCCTGGGAGCGCTCCCCCAGCGTGCGACGTGGGCCTGGGTCGACGGGTCTGCGACCGGGGGAGTAATAGGAAGGCGGCGCTGGGGTCCTCACCGAGCACCCAGACAGTACAACATTGGTACTGCGGGAGGCGGCGGGGAGGATTTGCTCCATTTACCGATCTGAGATGGTGGCGCCCAAAACGGCAAAGCAACATCTCCTGAAGCACCCGTCCTTCGAGGAAGACCCCATAATCATTTGCTCCGACTCGCAGGCGTCGCTGGCGACGCCACGAGGTGGACAAGTGGCCCAGACACACCCCCCCCCCCTCATCCCCTAGGTGCCGCCATCTGGGAGTATATGATGGCCCTAGTGGCTGTAGGGGGCCGAAGAATCCACCATAGAAGGAGGGCGGCGATAGCCCGATTAAGCTGGGCGTCCAGTGGAGCCTCGGCTCTATCATGGGCATTGGGCAAGGACTCTGCGAGCACCCCCGTCTCCTCCATCTTCGACGGCACTCCAGTCAGAAAGCTGTCCCCACCCGAGTTTCCCAGCAGCATGGGCCACATGAAACCGAACAGCGCCGAGCCGCTCGACGCTGAGGACCAGGCGAGAGTAACAGTGAAAAGGTGAAACGCTCGAAACGGCGCGCGCCGCCGGCCGAGGGCGCCGAGCCGGCCCAGGCCGGCTGCGGGTCAAACAGAAGCCGTCTCCGCGGCGGCCGCCCAGTGACAGCGACTCGGACTGACGTCGAGGCACCGCTGCCGCCTCCGCCGACCAACCCGCCGCCCAGCAAGGGCAGTTTGAAGGCGGCTGCGCCGGTGAAGGTGGCGCGGCCTGGCAGGGGCCGCGGCCGGCCCACTCCCAGCTACCCGTCCCGCGAGGTGCTCAGTACCACCGACTCGTCCGATTCTGAGGCAGCGCCGTCGGCGGGCCGCCGCCAGCAGTGACGACGACCGGCTGGCGGCGTTCGCGCGGGACTTGTCCGACTCCTGGTACTCGGACTTGCCGCCCAAACTGGACGCCGGCGGCGTGAGCACCAGCAACGCCAATAAAAAGTCCACCTTCATCCGGCTCTTCTCGCACCGTGTCAAAAGGACTACGCCGCGCGGCCGGCCGGCCAACTCGAATGAGCGCAGCGAAGGGCACACGTCCCCGACGGCGGCACTGGCGCCTCCCGCCGCGCCGCTGCCGGCGTTGCTGGCAACGCCGATCCAGGCCCATCGATTTCTACTGTTTTGTTGCCTACGTGCCGCTGCCGCCGCTCAGCCAGCACAATGGCGTGCCGGTGTTGCGCTGTCGGATCGAAAAGCGGCTCGTGCAGCGGACGGACGGGTGCGGCCCGCGCGATGAGCCGCCGCCGCACACCGAGCTGCGCCGCACGGACGTGAAGGTGGAGCTGGCAGCGGCCTGCTCAGTCCCCTCAACGGCGTCGACCGGCTCTCCGGCGATTTGCGGTCAGAAACGCCGCCGCTTCTGGGACCAAGGTGTCAGAGCGCGGCGCTGCCCGTGAGACGTTAAGTTAGCACAGGCAATGTCGTCTGCACTCCTTGCAGTTCATGTTCAATACACAACCATGTTGCGAAGTAATAGGCGCCGGGTTTTTCAGTTCATAGAACTTTTTCCCTGGCTATTACACCCCACAACCGAACACTGACACCTTGCACAAGTATGACTGTGTGTATGAATGTTAATAAATACATGAACCAATGTTGTGTTTTCGGTTCCAGTACCTTCTTTGGGCACCTCGGCAACAAGTAAGTAATCCGTTAGCTTTGCCACACCTAAGATAGGCTCCCACGTTGTTATTTGCTCCCGGGTTAACATAAACCGGTTTAACGTAACTTTTGCATCCCGGCCAAAATTGCCGGTTAACTGTCCCACCGCTCGAGACTGGCGCTAGGCTGGCCGAGCAAAAAAAAAAGTTTGTCCGCGGCTTCGTCTTATTCGCAGCTGCTGGACACGGGGGAGGGGGAGGAGGGGCTGCATCGGACGAAAAGCGGGCTCTGGTATTAACTGGATTTTTTGCCAGCTGGCGCCGTATGGTGGCGCTAGCAGAGCTTCTTACATATCAATGCTAGATTTAAAAGAATGAATATTTACCAATCAATTTTTCATTTAAAGCCATTTGAAATATTTATGTCCATCCTACTACCGCGCTTAGGTATATCTAAAATTAAATACCTTTCGTGCGTCGCCAGCTGGCCAGCCAGCTGACGCAATCCAGCTTTTACCAAAGCCCCGAAAAGCGATGACGTGAGCCCTAATATTGGCTTCACCACACAATTTGAGCCCTCAAACTGGAATCAGGTGAGCTCGAAAATGGGGATCAGGCTGAAAACTGGTATCATAGTGAGACTAGTTTTAGAGCTTGACACCGATAATGGGTACTGACTGAGCTCTGTTTCTGCGATCAATGATACCGATTTAAGGGATCGTATGAGCCCATGTGGCGCTAGCTCAGAAAGTATTCTCGAAATGTGCTGTCTGTTTTGAATATGGTACATTAGCCCGAAAACTGGTCTCTGAGCCCGAAAATCGGGACACTGTTTTCTCAGTGGAGGTACCCCCTCGCAATTTTGCACGTGCAAGGCCCACCCTCTCGCTCGCTCCGTTAGTCGCCCCAAAAGGCGTTATACTGGTATACCTATACCTAATCAGCCATAAAAAGCACGCAATTAAATCCATTTTTCAGGTCAGTTAAAAAAATCTAGTCTTCATTAGCACTCCGACAGAGTTACCAGTTACCACACAGCTCCTCTTTCGACGCTCCGATTCAGAGTTGAGGCTTCTTTGCAGTTAAGAAGACACCTACTTCAGTATTTCAGTGACAAATAAGCTAATTACTAATTAGCCAACAAGAGACAAATTATGTACATCGCTCATCATGTTAACACTTGTGTAATGCATACACTTTACACACGCCAAACCCAGCGCTATTGCTGCGTAATGAGGAAAACAGCCAAAAGAACACTCGACAGTCGACACCAATCCGCTGCCACCAACGGGATGACATATGGCATAGATCGCCTTGGCCACAACACAATTCTACGTCATCTTCATATCACTGTCCGCTACTCCTCCGTGTCCTTGCCCTCAAAACGCATCGCCAGTTTCCCGATCAGTTCCTTGAACGCGATTGGGTCCATGTTCTTTCCCATCTGATATAGCACAAACCAGTCGCCGATCTGGCATTTGCGCGCAACGATAGCAACGTCATGGTGCGAAGCCAGTCTGGCGCGCACCATGAGCAGCTGGAGCCTCAGCTGCGGGTGGAACACCTGAGCGATTCGATACAGCAGCACCAGACCCGTTAACACCGACAGCACTATGAACCAGAACCACAGCATTATGTAGATCTTCTCGTTGATGATGTTGAGGGGAAGCACACAAAGTCCGTCGATGCGCTGCACGGTGCCGGAGGCTCCGTACTTGTGGAACGTGCACTTGGTCATCTTGGGGAACACGAGCGCCATCGGGTCGGGCCGGTCCTCCTGATCCATGTTGGCGAACTGGACCACGCGCCAGCCGTACGTCGTGAACTCGTAGCCCAGAAACAGGTCCGTGAAGAAGATCTGCGCAATGACGTTCAAGAAGTTGAGAACTTCGCAACAGAAGAATCGCACAGCGTAAAAGTTGTGATGATGCAGGTTAAGCGAGAAGTAGTTGGTGATGAGTTTTTGCCTGTCCCGGCGCGCCTCCTCCTTCGTCACGGGGGACTGCATGTCCATGACCAGCATCTGGCACTTCTGGCCCTCCCACACCTGCCACAGGTAGTGCGGCACGTAGAAGAGCATCGCCTGGAAGAAGAGCGTGAATGCCACCCACTGGTAGTACAAATGGTGCTTAAACTTGTCGCCTTCCTGTGGCGTCACCACGCCTGGGTACGGGAACTGCTCGCCGATTTTCCCCGTTCGGTTCGGCGGCACCTGCACGGTGAATGTCGAGTGAATCCAGCAGTAGGTGTCCATCGCCTTGCCCTTCTCCTTGTCCTTGACGCCGTCGAAAATGCAGTCGATTGGGTCACCAAGGTACTGCTTGGACGTGACCAGAAGGCAGCATACGAGCAGAAGTGCTGTGGTCCCTTTGTAGTGCAGGCGAAACACATTGTTGTCGATGCACACAGCTTCGGGCTTCAGCACACCCTTCACGGATTTAAGGATGTCGAGCATGATGTCGGTCTGATGGAGTGGTCCGAATTACCAGCGGTCGACTAATTCTGGTGGCGCAGGTTGGTGGTTCGGCCGCAGCACTGCGGAGTGTGGCGACCTGCCCAGAGGACCGCCCGACACTGCACTGGTCCGAGCGCGAGTAACAGGAGCGCGGCACGGCCGGCCGAGCTGGGCCTCCATGGCTGAGGCCCACTCAACACACCAGGCAGACGTTCTGCCAGGTATGACATCACGCTTCCGGGGACATACAATCTTACCAAATGCCGTGAATGCGCATTCACGGCATTTGATAAGATTCATAGTTATTCAATATTTATTTATTCATTCATTCAAGCAAAACACCCAATCATTCACGCCTCTAAACACATTCGGAGAGGTTAGCTGGCCCGGGACGTGCGACGTATATAAAAATACATTTCATGCTATTGTCGGTAACTCTGGCCAGTGCTGCCAAATCCTATTTACGGCACTGGCAAGATTGGGTCCACGTCAGCGATTGGGTGACATCGCACAATTTAGATAGCGGAATATTTTGTTTAACACTCTGACAATTATATATTCTACAGAGCGGTAAAATGCGACATTCGGTTACCATTGATGCAAACCGCTTATATAAAAAAACGACAATAAACCACACACCTGTGCATTTTTGCACATGCTAACTCTAGTACGATGGCAAGTCACTAATGTACATTGTTGCATCTCCCATTGCATCCCCGCAAGAAAGAAGTACTCGACTAATCAACGACGTAGTGAGATCTCGGATTTTTAAAGTTTTTGGATTTTGACTTCTAAAAATAAAGTTTTTTTTTTACATGAGCCAATTATCTAAAAAGTTTTTCGACTTTCGAAACAACGGAATATATATGATAGTCCCTACCATCTTCTGTATTCATACCAAATTTAAGATCGATACCTCTAATTTGGCCAAGTTATAGCGAAAACAACTGTTGAAAATTGATGATATCAAATTTTCAAACTCAATTTGTAGCAATTCCAGACCATATGTCGCAAAACAAAGGCCACCATTTAACCCGCGCCCCGTTGGGCTCTGTCGAGCAACGCGCCCCGCTGGGGGGGGGGGGCATTTTGGCCCCCCTAAGATCTCGAGAACCACGCAACCTAGCGACAAGCGGCAAACGGTGTTGGATAGCCCTATCAGGGAACTACCTTGTGACCCTATTTTATTGACCTAGGTCAAACCGATGACGTCACAGGTCAGGTCAAAGGTCCAATTTTCACCGTTTACAGCCATTTCAAGAAATGCGTTGTAAAATCGAGTAAAATGCATTTCATTGAAAATCATCGATGGGGAAATGTTCTTCAAACACATATTTTGCTATTTGAGGTCACTGATACCAGGTCAGGTCACAGAGGTCAGGTCACTGGGGGCCACAATATGAAAGTGTCGTGTGATACATGTTTTATGGTCCATTTTACATGACAAATGCGATTATGTGGGTCAGGCAGCCTTAGGGGCCAGCTTAGGTCACGTTTAGGTCAAGGTCAGGTCAAGGTCAGGTCAAGGTCAGGTCAAATTAGGTCAAATTTCAAAGTTGATATTTTTGCATAAAATGGGTATCGAATCGGCAGCTCGTCACCGGGAGTTCAATGGTGGTCTTTGTTTTGCCGTACGTGGTCTAGAATCGCTAAAAATTGAGTTCAAAAATTTGACGTCATCATTTTTGAACAGATTTTTCACTATAACTTGGTCAAAAAACGAGATATCGATCTGAAATTTGGTATGTATATAGGAGAGCGCAGGGACTATCACATATATTCCGGTTTTTACGAAATTCGAATTTTTTATTTTTTTAGTTTTTTCTAAAAAAATCAATTTTTTGATTTTTTTTTTTGGGGTCAATACCCCAAAATTTTGATAATCCGAGATAGCAGTTTTGTAGCGCCGCTTTTTGTCTACTAAACCATATAAAGAACTTTGAAATTGCTTGATAACTGTAGATTTGGTGAGCCTTTCAAGATTGCATGTTTTTTGCTCATTTTTGCTCGAACATGACCTCAGTTTGACCTCAATAACTCCTGACCTAGGGTGACCTAAGACTTGAAATTTGGTGTGAAGGTGTCAAATTGATGCCCGGGAAGGTACTGAAAATTTGGCGGCGCTGCACGCCGCCGTTTTCTTGCTATTCAGGAAAACCACAGGGGGCCAAAATGCCCCCCTCCCCCAACGGGGCGAGGGTTAACTCTCCGTGACGTGCTGCATCGAATCGATACCCATTTTATGCAAAATATCAACTTTGAAATTTGACCTAATTTGACCGAACCTTGACATGACCTTCACCAGAACGTAACCTAACTGGCCTCAAAGGTTGCCTAACCCACAATATCGCATTTGTCATGTAAAATGGACCATAAAACATGTATCACACGACACTTTCATATTGTAGCCCTCAGCGACCTGACCTCTGTGACCTGACCTGATAGCAGTGACCTCAAATAGCAAAATATGTGACTGACGAACAATTTTCCATCGATCGTTTTCAATAACATGCTTTTTACTCAATTGTACAACACATTTCTTGGAATGCCAGTAAACGGTGAAAATGCGACCTCTGACCTGACCTGTGAGGTCATCGGTTGGGCTGAGGTCAATGAAACTGTGTCTGAAGGTAGTCCACCGGTGGGGCCATCGAACGCCATTTGAATTTTGAAAATCGGCCAGTAAATTTCTGAGATCTTACGAGGGGGAGGGGGGGGGGGTGCCGATAGCCCCCCTAGGGTGGCAGGGTTCACCGATAGAGGAAGACGGGGGAACCCCGCTTATTGGGAATACCGCCCACCGTATTCAATTTCGTATACCAAACATCTTTGATGATTAGATTACTGTGTCATTAATTGGTGACATGGCGGCAATCGACTGAAGGTGATTTGGTAAGTTTGGGTGTCATTTCTGTGATTTTCCACAATTTTGCTGGCAAGTGGCTTCCTTGTCATTTTCTTTATGCACTTTATTTAGTTTAACCTGCGCCCCGTAGGGAGGGGGGGGGGGGGGGCGAAACGCCCCCCTGTCCTTTTCCGTCAATATCTCCTAAACGGCTGGAGATATCGCCACCAAACTTTCAGGACCCCTCCGGGCATCAATTTTACACAATGTGATCATTTTTTCCAGAGGCTATGATAGGTTGGCCATAAATGACGTCAGAATGACGTCATGTTCCGCCATTTTCGACCGAAAAAAAGACCTTCGCGATTGAAGATACAGAAAAATAACCAAGACATAAAAGGTGTAGAATTAACAGGGCTACAAAACTGCTATCTCTGATTTTAGAAATTTTTGAATTTTGTCCCCAAAAAATCAAAAAAGTATTTTTTTGGATATATCAACAAAAAAATCCACAAAGTTTTTTGAGTTTCGAAAAAAACGGAATATATGTGATAGCACCTACCGTCTTCTATCTACATACCAAATTTCAGATCGATATCTTGTTTTTTGGCCATGTTATAGCGAAAAAAAAACTGTTCAAAAATGATGACTCCAAATTTTCAAACACAATTTTTGGCAATTCTAGACCACGTAGGGCAAAACAAAGACCACCATTAGACTCCCCGTGACGAGCTGCATCGAATCAATAGGTACCCATTTCATGCAATAAATATCAACTTTGAAATTTGACCTAATATGACCTGACCTTGACCTGACCTTCACCAAAACGTGACCTTAGCTGGCCCCAAAGGCTGCCTGACCCACAAGATCACAGTTGTCATGTAAAATGGACCATAAAACATGTATCACACGACACCTTCATATTGTGACCCCCATTGACCTGACCTCTGTGACCTGACCTGGTATCAGTAACCTCAGGTAGCAAAGTTTGTGTTTGACGAACAATGTACCATCGATGGTTTTCAATAACTTACCAATTTACTCGACTTCACAACACATTTCTTGAAATGCCTGTGAACGGTGAAAATCCGACCTTCGACCTGATCTGTGACGTCATCGGTTTGACCTAGGTCAATGAAATTTGGTCACAAGGTAGTTCCCCGGTGGGGCTATCCAACGCCGTTTGAATTTTGAAAATCGGCCGGTAAATCTCCGAGATCTTAGGGGGGCCGTTTCGCCCCCCCCCCCCCACGGGTGTAGGGTCCACCGATAGCCCTACGGGGCGCGGGTTAATTGTCATTAACCTTTCAGGCGGTGGGGGGGGGGCATCTTTTTGCCCCCTTTAGTTTTTTTTTCGATATATCTCCAGAACCGCTGCGCCGATCGTCACCAAACTTTCAGTACCCTCCCGTGAATAGCTATTGCACATTATGACCAAATTTTTTCCAAAAGCTATGAATTGTTGGCCGCTTATGACGTCGGAGTGACGTCATTTCTGCCATTTTCGACCCAAATAAAAGGTTTCGCAGGAAGAGCTGTCAGGCCTACAGCTTTAGAGATACAGAAAAATGTTTCAGACATAAAAGGTGTACAATTAACAGGGCTGCAAAACTGCTATCTCGGATTTTTCAAATTTTGGGATTTTGACCCCAAAAATAAAAAAATAGATATTTTGAATATAATAGCAGAAAAATCCTTTTTTTAATTTCGAAAAACCGGAATATATGTGATAGTCCTTACCACCTTCTATCCACATACCAAATTTGAGATCGATATCTCTCTTTTTGGCCAAGTAATAGCGAAAAAACTGGTCAAAACTGTTTAAAATTGTTTCACCGTTCACGGGTCTTCTAGGGAATGCGCTAAAACATCGAGTAAAACGCATTTTGTCGAAAATCAGCGATATGCAATTTTTTAGGCAGCAATTTTTCATTTCCAACTCAATGGTGTCGGTTATAAGGCTTTCAGGTACGGTTTATGTCACTTTCTGGTGGAGGTCAGATCAAGGTCAGGTAAAAAGGTCAAATTTCAAAGTTGATAGTTTTGCATAAAATGGGTATTGATTCGATGCACCTCGTCACGGGGAGTCTAATGGTGGTGTTGTTTAGCGCTACGTGGTCTAAAATTGCTAAAAAATTAAGTTTGAAAATTTGATGTCATCAGTTTCGAACAGTTTTTTTTCGCTATAACTTAGCCAAAAAAGAGGCATCAATCTCAAGTTTGGTATGTGGATAGAAGGCGGTAGGGAGTATCACATATATTCCGATTTTTCGAAATTCAGAAAAAAAACTTTTTGGATTTTTCGGCTATTACATTCAAAAATCTTTTTATTTCTATTTTTGGGGGTCAAAATCCAAAACTTCAAAAATCTGAGATAGCAATTTAATAGCCCTGGTAATTTTACACCTTTTATGTCTGAAACATTTTTCTGTATCTCTAAAGCTGTAGGCCTGACAGCTCTTCCCGCGAAACCCTTTTTTGGGTCGAAAATGGCAGAAATGACGTCACTCCGACGTCATTAGCGGCCAACCTATCATAGCCTTGGGATTTTTTTGTTACAATGTGTAAAAGCTATTCACGGGAGGGTACTGAAATTTTGCTGACGATTGGCGCAGCGGTTCTGGAGAAATATCGAAAAACTAAAGGGGGTAAAAATGCACCCCCCCACCGCCTGGAAGGTTAAGGTTTATGGTGACAAAGATAAAAAAGGAAGTTGCTTGATATCGAGGCTTAAGTGAGGTCTTGAACGGCATATCTTTAAAAATTCAAATCACGTAAAATCACAGAACAGGCGTAGAAACATGTCGGAAACGCCATGAGCCTGCCAATACAATGAGCATTGAAC